ACACACACACACACACACACACACACACACACACTAATGGGGCAGTGATATGGAATTATAGGTAAGGGTCAAAGGTCATCATGGTGTTTTGGTGTTGAATTCATCTTGTACAACAGGAAATAAGACCCGCTTGATCCAGAAACTCCAGCAAATGCATCGCTCACTGATGTGGGACAAGCTCTAGATGTATTCCATTATCCGAATAAATGTTAAGATGAGGAGCAGATACAGAAAGAGCTCACAAGACGGGCAGAGTTTGTTCACACGGGTCAGTTGAAATCAAAATGCTTAAGACAGAGAGAAAATGAGAGTGACAGAGACAGAGTAATGCCTTTTATTAAAGGAACAGAGAAGAAATGAGTGAGACGGAGCCCAAACGATGTGGAGAGAGTGGAGGCCAGCAGTAGTTGTGGAAACGGCGGTGTTCGTTTAACCGTAACACCGACAGGAAACCATGTGGCTGAATGCGATAGTGAAAAAGGAAGTAAATTATAAATAAATGAAAGCACGGCAGAAAGAGACAGATTTGTTGGGTTTCTAATATAGCCTTCTTGTTTTCCAGATGCTTCCTGGAAAAGTGAAGACACGGATCTGCGAATAAGACCAAAAGGAGCATGTCGAATCGATAATCTCCTAAATTCCCATAGAGAAAAAAAGAACAAAGTGTCATCTAAAACCACGGGCCCCTGATCCCCACGGCCCAGCCTGCCAGCGCGGAGGGATTAGTGTTTTGTGTTCCTAATGACAGCAGATAATAAGTTAAATAACGGCGTAATCCACATTTCCCCTGCATCTATTTACTGTGACTATTAATGAGCTGAGTCACGTAACGAAACACCAAAAATCATTCAATAAGATCGAGAGACAGCAAATGAGGAATGGCTGTGGTATTTGTTTGGCCAGTCTGCTTTGAATATTCAAAGTGTGATGTATAGCTGATATAGCGCCGCAGTCGGTGGGAACTAATCACCTCCAGCTAAAGCTAAAATTCACTCGGCCTCCATCAAGTGGGGCTGTAATGAAAGCAGCCATGGACTGCGCTTAGCCCTTGGGCAACTCTTTGTTTAATCATTATTAGTCTAAATCTTCTAGTTAACACGCTGCTTTGGAAAGACTTTGAAAAACCAATACAAATTTGGAGGGAAAGCATAAAGGACAGCCGAGAGCGCGAGAGAGGAAAAAACAAGTAGATTTGAGCTGCTCATGAATGTTTTATGAGTACCTAGCGCACAGATGATAAGTGACACTGACAATGGGGCCGTACTGCGAGACTGGAGGGATGTAGAGTTATGGATCATGAATCAATATAGCTATTATGCTCGGCTTAGATAACACAACAAAACTTTGAGTTCAGTTAGTAACGTATTCATTCAACACTACAAAGTAAATGAAAAACTAAATGAAACCGGAAACATGAAGTAAGCCGCAAACCTCCTGAGCAGCAGTTTGGGATGGTTCTTGCTCTCCAGGTTCTTGTCGATGAGGTCGGACAGCAGGTGTTTGAGCACATCCGTGGCATATTCCAGTCGACCCTGGAGAGCCGTCATTATTAGCGACGCCACATTGCCACGGTCACGCATGGAGAAGGAGCGCTGCATTTCCAGTGTACGGATGAATGTCAACAAAAACACCTTGTTGTTTATCAGCTGGGCAAACAGCTTCAGAGCTTTTTCAACGCACAGCTGCCCATTACCAGAGACCTGGAACACACAACAACATCTTTGCTGTTAAATACAAACATTTTTATAAGCCAACTGCAACTGTCAATGTACTAATATCATTAATGCATATTTAAATAAAAAAGCACATGTTACATGAAAAGCTGTAAATTACACAATGTCCTAACCAGGTTAGACATTTTATGGTCATTGCGCTGGGTAGTCTCTAAAATCCTGTTCCAAATAATTGTAAATTAAATATCCAATCTGATTGCCTATGATTGTGTCACATGGCACAGAAATGTGCACCATGTTGCACCTGGTTAGCACAACTTGTTAGAGAAAAGTGTTAAATTACACTCTTAAAGGGGTCCTATTATGCTCTTTTACAAAGTCTTGATTTTGTTTTGGGGGTGTACTAGAACAGGCTCTCATACTAGGTTGTTCGAAAACACATTATTTTTCACATATTTTACATTACAACACCTCTCTCCCCAGTCTGGCATGAACGGCTCGAATAGTTCCTGTATCAAATGAAGGCCCGCCTTCTGAAATACGAAATGTGCTGTGATTGGTTAGCTGGGCCAGTGTGTGTTGTGATTGGCAGCACTCGGTGCCTGGTCGGGAAATGTCATGCCCCTTACCATAGCCGCCTGCGAGCTTCAGTTTAAATATTGTGTCAAAATCAAATCAATTTGAGCGCGATTTAAACACGGATGATTTTAACCACTCAAAGTTTGTCTGCCTTGGGAAAGCTAGCGTGTCTCCGACATAGTGATAACACTCGTTGCCTTCTCTAGCGCAGCTCAGCCAGGTCTCGTCCCATTCGTCGATATTTGTGATATCACAAATCCCGGAAAATATGCGTTGTACGAGTCGTTCGTTGTAGTTTTTGAAAAATTATTTCTGTTAAATAAAATATCTCCTTTTGAAGTGGACTTTGAACTTTGTAACTTTGCAGATCTTTTTTATGCTCAAACAGCAACATTACAGACTAACTAAAGTTGAAAAAGTGAAAAAGCATAATAGCACCCCTTTAACATAGACCGCAGCCCACCTCCAGCTCTCTGAGCACAGGATGGTCCTCGATGCCGGGGAATAAAACTCTCATGGCATATGTGCGGTAATCCAGATAGGGAATGCCGGCCCGGTCCAGATCACTCGTCAATTCATTAATGTCTGTCTGCAGTTCTGCAAAAGCTGAAAACAAAAAGGGGGAGGAGAAAAAAAAAGAGAAACAATTTCAATACACTGAAACATTCAAAGTTCAATGTCCAGGTCATGTTTAGCCACAAAATCAAGAAAAACGTTATAAAAAATATATATATATAAATGATCATTTTATTTGACTTGGAGTCAAATTCATTCAAATTCGAAATCTCCAAACGGAAAGTATTTATTGTTGTACTAATATATGCTTTTATTTATGCTGATATATTTTTGATGAAAAAACAAGTATAAGTGCATTAAAATATATGGAACATTTTTTATGTTTTACATTTTCTATTATATGAAAATCACAATATAATAATAATATAACATTATTAATATTATCAAATAATATTTTACCCTCAAAGATCAAAAAGTATTATAGCAATGAGAATTTAGAGAGGAAAACGTTTTTAACTGTCATCAAAAATATATCATTTCTTATTTTAAATTACTTTAAATATATGATATACGAACTGGAACAGAAACTTTTACTTTAAATATGATATATGGGGGTGATATGTGAACATTTCTTGAGATTTTTGAGAAGTTGTAGTCACATTAAAGGTCCAAACACAACCAAACCTGAACTGCTGAACTGCTAATCAGCATCTCTGAAGACTTTTTGTCCAGTTTGAGGTTTTTATGAAGTTCCTGAAGGGTGTTGCAGGCAGACGAAGAGAGCAAACCAAAATAACCTCTCAGCTTCTCTCTATTTATGGTTTTCTCACTCACACAAACACACACAAAGAGTAAATTGCAGGCTGCTGAAGTGCTTGTCCCCTGCTGCTGGAGACTGGAGGTGGGATGCCTTTAATTGGGTCCATTCTGACAGAGCCTGGGGCAGCACTCTTCCCTGAGGGAGTTATCTATCTCTCTTTCTCTCTCCCCTCACGTTTCTTTATTTCTCTTTTCTGGAACGTTCCTTCTGCCTTCACTCTATCATCTCCCCTCACCTGTCCTCCTCTTCATCTCGGCCCGGCGTCTCGCTCTATGCCTTTTCTCTCATCTTAAACTCACTCTCTCACAGCCGTTCATGGAGTGCAGGACTCAATCTGCCCCTTTAATACTTCTGCATCTTAAATTCCTTGTGGCTCCAGAATCAGTCAACACAAACCTTATCCTCTCAGACCCGCTAAACCGTAGGTCAGGGACGCTCTCTCTGTGTGTAAGAAAGGGTTTTAACTGTCAGCCTCCTGGAACCCTCAAATGCTGATGCGTGTTGCATCGCTCTATGACTAAAGATTTCATTGGTGAAAAACATTAACAGAAACATTTGACACTTCAAATCCATCCTGTGACATTTCACAATCCCCAAACCCAATCATTTCCTGTAACTAAAAGAGCATGGTGTTTGCAACACCAAGGTCATAGGTTCCATTCCCAAAGAACACATCTACTGATAATAGATTTTTCTGAGATTTTTTCTTTTAAATGAGCATCTTTATCAAGCTCCCGTGTTTAGGTTCAGTAATTTCACTTTAATGGCAAAGAACAGGTTATTAGTCAGTTATTGAATGCTTAATTTTCAAAAATGTGTAATGCTATTTTAATAGGAACCTAATAGAAAAGCTCATTCGAAAAAAAAATCTCAGACGAACTTTTTTTGCATCTTCATGTTTTATACACGCACACACACACACACATTAATAAGTGTCAAAAACAAATTAAAATGCTTTAATCTGACTCATTAAACTGTGGCTTTTCCACAACATGTGTGGTTGTAATTAAACATACAATTATTTTCTTCCAAATAAACACAAATAATCAATAATGCAAAATAGTGAAAAGGCGATGCCAGTGTCTTTCTCACCTTCTTTGCACTCCAGCGCGACCCTGGACTCCAGGTTGTCCATTTGCATCTGGAGTCGTTTGAGTGTCAGGTCGTTCTCGCGGGATTTACGCTTGTAGGCAATAAGCACAAGGATAACGATGATGAGGAGGAGGCCGCCGCCGGCAGCGATGCTGACAATGGCAGGAAGAGTCAGGAGGCTGTCAGAGAGAATGTTTACTGAGCCGGGGGACACATGCAGACCACCGACCTGCACCTGAGAGAACAAAACCACATATATTTACACATGAGAATCAATCAAGAATAAATGCGCACACGTAAAGATGCACACACAGAGATACAGGGTGTAAAAATATACCTTAATCTCTGAACCAACAAGAATATAGAAAAACACACACATACACATTGTGTTTTGGGCAGCACTAACAGTAATTGGTTTTCTGTTTCTAGGGAACCAGGTGACAGCAGCAAGACTGTGGCATTGCTGAAGGTCTGGTCTGAGTCTCAACCAGCGGTAGAACAATAGTAAACAACGAACGTTTAAACAAGACATTTAACACCCTCCTCAACAGCACAGGTCTCAAATCTAGTAAACAAGTACTGAAGGGCCTTTCAAGCATGTAAAACACATGAGACATTGTTCTCAGAAATTGGACTCATTTTTCAATCAGATTATTAGAGCTGGCTGTTTTCTTTTACAAAAACAGAGCAGAAAAGGAAAAAAAAACTAACTACATTCAAATGTTTGGGGTCGGTTTTTGAAAGAAATCTCTTATACTCACTAAGACTGCATTTATTTATTAAAAAATACAGTAAAAATGGCAATACTGTGAAATATTATTACACTTTAAAATAACTTTTTTCTATTTTAATATATTTAAAAATGTAATTTATTCTAGTGAAGGCAAAGCTTAATTTCAGCATCATTACTCCAGTCTTCAGTGTCACATGATCCTTCAGAAATCATTTTAATATGCAGATTTGCTGCTCAAGAACCATTTCTTTTTATGATCAATGTTGAAAACAGTTGTGCTGCTTAATTTTTTGTGAAAACTGTGATTAATTTTTTCCAGGATTCTTTAATGGAGAGAATGTTTAAAAGAACAGCATTTATTTGAAATAGTAATCTTTTGTAACATTCTAAATGTCTTTACTGTCTCTTTTGATCAATTGAATGTGTATTTGCTGAATAAAGATTTAAATTTCTTAAAAATAAATAAATAAATAAATACTGACCCCAAACTTTTGAATGGTAATGTAGTTTACTATATGGGGTGTTGTATACATGCAGTTCATACTGAAACGTGTTTCCAAAAATCAGATTCAAAACCATTTATAAGATGGTTTAGATCTGGGTTGAAAAATTTTTTCACAGAAAAACTAGATGGATCTGATCTGGATGTGTTTAAAAAAAATTTCACATATACATATTTTTGCATACGTCTTACCATGATTTTGTACTGGCCGGTGAGATTTGGTGGCTCGCACAGCAGTTGAGACTCCGATACAGTGACAGAACAGGGAGTCTCTCCTATCAGAACAGTGTAATTAAGCTTCACTCCTCCAGAGGCTGAAGGAACCAGATTCTTACCCTAATACACACACACACACACAGAGCACATGTGGATGATGGTTAGGTACGTTTGAAAAGCTTACACTACTGACTATTTCTGTGTATATACATATTTACGGTTAACAGATCTTTTAAGAAACGCTGTATATGCTTAGATAATAACAGTCTGATTTGTAGCTCTTAGGTCAAAGGGTCAAGCATGAGGATGGAAGTACCTTTAAAATGATTGGTGAGCCAGGTTTCTGTTCCAGCATGCCATTGGTGCTGAGAGGCTCAAAGTAAGGGTTGGGGTAGTACATTAAGTTAGTGTTGTTGTATACTAGAAGAGCTTGCACATTATTAAAGATGAAGCCAAACTCGTCTGCGTGCTTGACTGAGTCCAAACCCGGCCTGTACTCGGCTGTCAGCGAGGGAGCCAAACAGCTTATAGTCGTGATGTTCAGAACCTTACACACCTGGAAATGAGAGAGAGACAGAGAAAAATATGCTTCATTTTCATCAGCATTTTTCGAGAGTAATTGCTATCCATTGTTTCATCTCACTTCAGTTCTTTCCCATTAAGATCCCTTTGATACCATCTGTTTTCAAGTGTTTTACTGAACTGAAAAGACTGCAGATGCATTTCCTTTTGTTAGACAACAACGGAGCTGGAGAACAAATGTAAGAGTAGCTTTTAAACTAAAAAATCAGGAACAAACTCAGAGGGAAAACATTAAAAGTGTAAATTACGCTCTTCTGATCGAATCACGCCATGTCACACATTATTGTGAGGCTTTGTTCTTCAAGATAAAATGAGCTGCATATCTAGCACAAAACCTGTCAAGAACATGCCCGGGTCATCTGATTTTAGCTGGAAAAATGACTCTTTGTTATTGTCTTCTTGCATTATTGACAAACTATTTTTCTGTTTGACACTGTAAAGCTGCTTTGACACAGTCAGTATTGTATAAAGCGCTATACAAATAAAGGTGACTTGACTTGATTTTGAACAAAATAAATAAGTAATCATATTTTGCTGAAAGAAAAATACTTAAATTGCAAAGCAAATTAATACAAACTAAAATTTTTTTACTTGAAATAAAATAAACATTTAAAATATGAACAGGAAAAAAACATAAAAATCATAAATTCATTTTATTCCCACTAGTTGCCAAGGCATCATTTCTCATTTTAGTTTAGTATAACTTAAGTGCTAAAATAACTGTTAATTAAAATAAAAATGAATAAGAACTATATAGACATACATAGTTCCCTTTCAGTCAGTCACGTTCGACGTTACGTCAGTCGTGACTGACGAATTGGGATCTCGCCCGAGAGCCCAATCACCTTCGAGTGTTAACTAAACAAGCAAATGACAGTTGGCGTGCGTGTTTCATCACGCGCACCCCGCCCCGCAGCGCGGGTATAAAAGGAGAGCGCGTGCAAACGCACATCAGCTTTTCGCTTCGGAGCCGAGCCTTCTACAAGACGAATCTCCGCGAGTGTTTGCTGAAACAAAAACAAATAAAAAAAAAAGAGAAAAAACAACAAAATTACTAAAACTTTATTTTAACTTAATTTAAAATGAAGACTAAATAAAAAAAATGTATTCAAAATAATAACAAAAACTATAATAGTATATCAATGATACTAAAATAACGCTATTGCAAGTACATCATAGTGGTATTTGTTTTCAATTAACATTAATTTATGATTTTGTTTTAATCAAATAATAACAATAATAATAACAAAAATAAATAAATAAAATAAAAAGTGGGAAATGTCATTAATTAGCATGAAAATATTTCAACAATAGAAAAAAATGGACCTTACAGAGGTTTAATTTTCTGTAATATATACATATTACAGAAAGATCAAATGATCTAGAGTTTGATTGGTCTCTGGGTGTGGCTGGAACCTGCAGCACAAGTAACAAAGCTCAATGTATCGCTAAGCGCTAAGCCCCGAATCCAATGTGATTACATTGTTGGGCTGAAATGATGCAAACTGTAGCCCTCTCATACCTCAAGTGTGCAACAACTGTGATCTGTACTGCATAAACATCAGCAGTCACACTTGACGGATGCACTCAAGTCTACGTGCACAGGCACTGAACCGTTCCCTCGGAGTAGCAGAGAGCAGAGCTGACGCTCCAACAACAAAAATTGATTGCTGTGAAACTTACTGTGCCGGGAGGTTTTCATCTCATTTCTTTCTTCTCCCCAACACTCAGGGGAGAAACTTAATTAAAGCTAAATATCTTCAAAGCACGGCAGGACCGGCGAGCACCACACCTCCTACTCGCATCTCGCCTCCTCGCAGCCAGAGCCACAATCGATACCAAATCATTTTGACCACACAAACTTGATTTGCGCGAGACTGAGGGTGCATCTCATTCCATAGCTTTTGGTTCCTCATTCCTTTGCTCTTCTACTTCACTTGGCCCTTAAGGAGTGTATAATTAGTGATATTTATCAATTCTGAGATTGAGATGGTTTTCTTGTCAGTGATTAACTGGTTTTGCTTATCCTTGCTGGCTAGGTTGATGCCATTACAAGTAAACACTATGGGGGGTATTACAAAGAAAATGTTTTCGTCCTCGAGGCCCGATTTCTGGAACAAACTGAGAATCTGAATAAGGCACAAAAACAAGCAAAATCCTTCAAAAACTCAAACTGGGGCTTGAACCTGCAACCTTCTGGTTACCAGGCCTGACCATCTCTTAAATACAGCAAAATATCAATCATCTAGAAGGACCAACCTACTACATTTCCCTAAGAAATTCAAACATAAAAAACATGCTTTCAAAATGACAACTTTCACTGCAGCTGACTAAACAGCATGTAGGTTTAAACAACATTTGACGCCACCACCTTGGCCTCAGATCTCTTCTGTAGGCACTTCATATTACGCATAGTGTTTGCATGATAACAGAAGCTCTCTTGTAGCTCAGAGGGGCTGGATCTGGTTAAAAATGAATGGGATTCAATAACTCTAAAGTCACACTGTCATCAAAACTTGTAATCCCATTACACACTCCACAGCACCCCACGTGAGGTAACCGAGAGGACACAGAGGAAATGCTAGAACAACTGATTCTTAGTGGAGCTAAAAAGCCTTTGATAGGACTTTCAATCAGTCACTCAATACAGAAAAATAACAAGATACTTCTGATATAAACAAAAAAGACATTTAAATTATATTAGGGCTTACATGCATTTTTTTTATTTTATTTATTAACATGGTAAAAATACCCTTGTGCAGAGTGTAACAGGTTTTAATAATATCAATATTTGAAATTTTTGGGTCAGTAAGATTTAAGATTAATTAATTAAATAATTAATTAATACTTTTACTCAGTAAGTGTGCATTTAGTTGATCAATAGGGGCAGGAAAATATTTATATTTCAAATAAATGCTGTTCTTTTGAACTTTCTATTAATCAAAGGATCATGAAACAAAAAGTATCAAAGTTTCCACAAAAATATTAAGCAGCACAACTGTGTTCAACATTGATAATTATAAGAAATGTTTCTTGAGCACAAAATCAGCATGTTAGAATGATTTCTGAAGGATCATGTGACGCTGAAGAATGAAGTAACGGTGCTGAAAATTCAGCTTTGCATCACAGGAATAAATTCCATTTTACAATAAATTCAAATAGAAAAAACAGTTAATTTAAATAGCAATATTTCATAATATTATTGTTTTTACTGTATTTCTGATTAGAAAAATTCAGCATTGATATATACGTATATATATAAAATATGTAGGATTATGTGATTGAAGGTTGCAAGTTTGAGCCCCACAAGGGCTGATCCATGAACTACCACCATTGTGCCCTTGAGCAAGACACTTAAACCAGATTGATTCAGGGATATCGTCGCTGTAGTAAGTGTACTGTTAGTCACTTAGGATAAAAGTGAGCACTAAATTATTACTGACACATGACTCAGCACAAAGCACAGCCCTACCCACCTAAACTAATCAATCCAAGCATCTCTCCCGGGCTCTAGGACAAAGAGTTGCATAGAGATGGTGCTCCCTGGCTAAAATCTGTCTCAAGTTACTCAGTGAAAATGGTAGTAATGGCGCAAAGGGATAGTTCAGCCAAAAATGAAAAGTCTGTCACCATTTACTCATCCTGATATGTTCCAAACATGCATGACTTTCTTTTTCTCTGTGGAAAATAAAAGAAGATATATTAAAGATTGTTTCAACTGTTTTTGTCCATACAATGAAAGTCAGTGAGGTACAAAAACAACAACATTGGACCCCATTGACTTTTCATTGTATGGGACAAAACAAACAATGTACTAAGACGTTTTTAAAAATACCTTCTTTTATGTTCCACCAAAGGAAGAGAAGAAAGGTAAACCTGTATATATATACAGCCTGTATAAACCCACCAATTCACTATCTCAACAAATTAGAATATGGTGACATGCCAATCGCACACACAGTACATATAAATACAATGAAAGTCAATGGGGTCCAAAAACACAAAGTTGAGCAAATTATGAACCTTCTCTGCTTGACTGAAACTCAGTACAGTGTGAACAGCATGATATCTTCTTCTGAACCCATCACAGCAAACTGACACAGGAGAATAAAACGTTTCATGGTAATGACTGAGCAGAGCTGCCCACCAGCTCTGAATTATGCCCTTTGTTTTTCAAGTACATGCACATGTAACTATATAGTGGCAAAAAATGAGACAGCTGGAAATAAGGGCGAATGTAGAACTACTATAAGCATCTGCATGATTGTAGAAAAATGCCCGTGGCTCTGTTAAATACTAAGAAGCTTTTATCATCCATAGTTCATGTTCTTCATGTTGGTTTTTTTGCGAGCGCACTCTTATCCAAGGTATCTGGGGAGGTCTTTGACACTGATTGGTGGGAGCGTCTGATTGCTTCATTTTAGAAGGAAAAAAACTGAAGTGCCTTTGTGATCGTCTCAGGTAGTGGCGCGCAAAGCTTTAGGAATCTGTCTCCAGACTTCATTACCGAATCTCTCCGCCGGCGCACGTCAAGCATTTTTTTCTTTTTCTCCTCCTTGAGAGAAGACAAAGGTAGAAAAACTAATCTTTTAACTATAATCAGGAAAATGATTAATGTCTCAATTGCGGGTTGGTAACAGGTACAGCAGGAAGCACAAAGGCAATTGTATGCCGTTCGTTCGGCTTCTGAGAACCCCACCAGGTAACGGGAGGGGAGGAGAGGAGGAAGAGAAGCAATTTGGGGAGGAGGCAAAAGACAGTTTGAAGGCTGCCTTGACGGGCGCTTGGCTCTGATTGCCAGACTCCGCCGCTGTTTTGTTCCCCACCTCCCTCCCCCAAAATACAGAGGAAAACGGGGGATGAAGACATACATAATCTTAACCTTCAACGGTTAATAAAAATGCAGGGAATCAAAGCCAGCTGAGTCTTTGGTGATGATGCCTAAGAGGCAAAAGCCAACCTTTCTCTGTCTACCTCTGTTTTTTTTTTCACTCTGTTGTAAAAAGTAAGAAAGAGAAAGAAAGAGACGGCACTAGCACCTGACACATCAGACAGCGCCCACACAACATATTTCACGAGTCCCTTTAAGAACTCTAAGAGCTCTGGGCTCTGTGAAGCGTGGAGGAACGCGGGGCTTCTGTCACTCCTCATTGCGCAGATGGTGTCTCTTTTACTAAAAGTGACTTTCAGGTACATCTGTACAGCTGGGGACTGAAGTGCAGTTATGCTATCGGGAACAGAGGAAAGAAGACTATAGCAGTTTGCTTTCCCCTCAGCAAAGTAAAAGACAATGTGTGATTACTTCTGAACACTTTCATATTCCCAAAATGATATTTACATATCATATTGTTCAAAAACATGCACCTATCGTACATGGAGACCTGTCATACTTTTTGGCTCCTAATTTAGTTTCATTATGAGCATTTTCCACCCTCTCTCTGACTTTTTTGTTGCTTTTAAAGTGATAGTTGATACAAATAAATCAAAGCACCATAATACAACAGAAAATATGAGACGCCACTGGCTATCCCATCTTTCTGTCTGACCACACTGACCAATCCTATTCCATTAATTAAACTCGGACCCCCTGCAGTGGCGAGCAAATTGAATTTGTACTGACTCCTCAGCCCTTATTATTTTTGGGATGTCTTTATGCTGACCAAACCATTCTGTCTGCAGTTCATCATCCTTTGAAACCCATTAACCAATACAACCCTCTTTAACTGGCCACTATCCACCAGTACCACCTCGGATGAAGCTGGTTTTATGCAGGATTCTGCAAATAATGCCCAACAAATTCCAGTTCGACAAAGGTGGTATGAGCGGAGTAAAATGCTCACATTAAATGCCTCATCTGCAGCACTTTGCGCAGACTGAATAATTCAGCAGGGTACTTAGTCGAAATTACAGATACACAGCTTGAAAAAGAGGTCACACAGAGGCTTGTGGGTAGGAGATATATGAGATTTCTGGAGCTGTGGCAGTGAGTCACGGCGGATCTTGCCTCCATGGGTCAACAGAAAAGACAGAAATTAGTCTAATGCATCCCAAAAAGGCAGCGTGCAGATTGTGTGATCCTCTCTCTACTGAAAGTCACCGATAATTAACTCAAACCTGCAGACAAAGCATCCCACTTCCCAAGGTCATGCATCTCTGAGGTCAAACTGATACGATTTGGTTTCATTGCGTCGGCCCTCGTGAGATATCAGCTCACATGAGAGAGCTGTTCTCCCAGAAGCCCCTGAGCTCAGGTAACTAAGGTCATTTCAAAACTGAGGGCGGATAATTGAGGAACCAACGATAACACAAATGAAGCTACTCACGTTTACGGATTCCCGCCCGCCGTACTTGATCCGAATCCTCGGCTCCTGAATGACATCCAAGTTAGTCCCAGTCACCACCAGAGGCGTGTGTCCGCTTAAAAAAAACACACACACAAGATGGTATGAATGTGAATGGGGTGAACGTAAAAATTTTGATGCAGAAGTAACTCACCTCCACTTGAATCAAAACTGCCCTTAAAACTTGTTTCTTTGTGATGTGGTGCTCAGAAGATAATAAGCATTTGAGAAAGTCCTGATTAAAGATGCTTTTAACTGGCTTCAGTAGATTTAATCAAACATACTAGACGTGTCTTTGAAAATATTAAAAAAGAAACAGAAGCAGCAGTGATCCTGCTTAGCATTCTGGGAATGTCCACGGCTTGATAAAGCACAACAAAAGAGCCGAGTGTCTAGGAGTGGAATGGGTGAGGAGCTCTAGCTTTAGGTGTTTCAGTTGTTTACTCATGAGCACTTCATTAGCCAGGCGCCGCTCGTACACTGTTCTGTTCAGTGTGGCCACGCTCTGGTACAACAGATACAGCACTGTGACCCCATCTACTGATGCCCTGGCATGGGGCACTCGCCCACAAGAATGAAAAATCACATAGGAGATTCATTCAATATCTCAACTGTTCATCCTAGGCAGCTATACGATCAAACGAAAAAGATAAAAGTCAGAAATCTCAGTATGAGCTCAAATATTTCTCATCAAATGATTTGATCTATGCTAACCAAATTAATAATATAGCTCTATATTCTGTCTCATCTTTCAGAAAATATTTTACTAGAAACACCTTAGACTATGTTCATGCTTTCATGTTGTACATTAATGTGAACTGTCATAGTTGCCCAAAACATTTTTAAAATTCAGTCATCATTTACTCCCCTGCATGTAGTTTCAAACTTGTATGACCTGTATATTTATGTATGCAACATAAAAGAAGATATATTGACAACTGTCGCAATGTAATTTTTTATGTTCATACAAAGGAAGTCTATGGTATCCAATGTGTTTTGGTTCCCAATGTTCTCCAAAGCATCTTCTTTTGTGTTCTTTATAAGGGAAAAAAGTCATACAGGTTTGGAACAACATGAGGGTGTTAAAGATGAAAATGTAAATTTTTTTGGGTGAACTATCCCTTTAAATCTTCGGAGCTATGAAAAAGCAACCTTTGAGCAATACAATTTCCTTTGGTGGGCATGATAATATGTACTTATGTATCTATGTGCTGGATTTGGTGAGAGACATTTTCTTTCTGTGTTTCTCTCTCTAACTCCAGCTTGGAATGAACCTGTATCTCAGCATCACTTATATAATCATTCTCAGCACATTCTATTTCTGTCTCATTTTTGCTACTGTATTTAATCATGTGCAGCACTTTCATATGAATATGTTGAGGCTCTGTATAATCAGTCCAGTTCTGCACAGTGAAATACTCAAAAATCATTCCAAGGGATAGCACACCCAAATTATGTCATGATTTAAGAAATGTCTCTTTTTTTTGTCCATATAATAGAAGTCAATGGGCTCTCATTTGGCTCCCTTGGTATTACATTACATGCTGTTATTTAAAGTTATATTCAGACATGAGACATACTCCACAGACTACAGACAGGATTTTAAGACTTCAGCAGCAAGAAATATTAGTAGCTCCTTTTTTGGATCTCAGAAGTGAATTATAAAAGCTTTACTTTTATAAAACCAATCACCCTGACATGGTGCAACTCTTTTTTTTAAAGATGAAAGGATCTGAATGCAAATCATTCATTTTCATGAAAAACACAACAACATACAGCCTTGAATAAAGCTGTTGAACTGCATTTCTTGCAGCAATGTGTCTGATATCCATTCAAATGGTATGAGAATCATCAGCCTCAAAAAGTCAAAAGTGTTTGCTAATAGTGATTTAAATGCAAGCTTTAAATAAATGGCCAAACTTTCTGATTTGCATAATCCAATACTAAAACACTGCATCATATATGTACAGTTACCTTGCGATGCTCCATTCCGGTTCGATGCGTTGAACGGTGGGGTCGTCTATATACTCAAAAGTCAGGCTATCTTGGACCTGGGCGCGATCCACGCTCACGCTGATCTGAACCGGCCCCACACCCGTCAGAGAAGGGGCAGAGTAACACACAATCTCCGTCATAGTCCGTCTGAGGACAAAGCAAACAGACACAAACCAATCAGATTCTGACAAGAGACAAAGCACGACACAAAGTTTTAACTTAATAACAGATGGCTAGACATTGTTCAGACACATTATATATGAATGGTGCTAGTGGGTGGCTCTCTGCTCTTTTTCAATTGCAGTCTTTTCTTACAGCTCTCACTGAAAGTGCTACCTGTGCAAAGTGAGCATTAGTCATTCTCTCTGCAGCGTATTAGAGTGTTAAGCTATTACTTATTGCAACCTCGCACACACTTGAATGCGTCGTCCTTCCACAGGAACACAGGGCAAAATAGAAATCTGCAATTAGCCAATATCGCATTAAAGTTGTCACTCTCTTGCACCTTAAAGCACTACAATCAGCCTCATCTTTCAATTGTGATCCTGGAGAGATGGAAAAGGAGGAGATATAGGAAGACGCCTGACAGGGGTATGATATTTACATACAAAATTAGAGAGAGAGGATGAGGAAACAGTTAAAGAGGGGGAAATCTAGAGGAACTTTAAGTGTTTTTGAAGAAAGTTTAAACAGTAAATAATCAGAAACTCTCTTTGATTGATATAAGGCATGTGGAAAGTGAAGAGTAAGTGAAGATATGGAACATTAGCCTAAATTATTCACACTAACTTTACAAAAAAAAAAAAAACTAATCAAGCTATATTATTAATTATTATTGTTTTATTGCATTATTACTTAAGATTTATTATGATATTTATATTATTATAAATAATATTATAGAAATATAGAAATTTCTTAAAATAGGGATTTCAAACAGTATTTAAAAAGGCTGATTCTTACTCATAAAACTCGCAGGTCTGGTTCCCAAAAAGCACACTGACGGTGCTGCCTGCTCCCAGGTTTTCCCCCATTATGGTCACTTTAGTTCCTCCAGACTCTGGACCCCGACCTTTCAAAAGTTTAGGTTTGGTAAAATTTGTAATTAAAAAAATATATATTTTATGCTCACCAAATCTGCATTTATTTGATCAAAAATAAAGTACAAAACTGTAATACTGTGAAATATTATTATAATTTAAAATAATGGTTTTCTATTTCAATATACAGGTGCATCTCAATAAATTAGAATGTCGTGGAAAAGTTAATTTATTTCAGTAATTCAACTCAAATTGTGAAACTCGTGTATTAAATAAATTCAATGCACACAGACTGAAGTAGTTTAAGTCTTTGGTTCTTTTAATTGTGATGATTTTGGCTCACATTTAACAAAAACCCACCAACTCACTATCTTCCACGACATTCTAATTTATTGAGATGCACCTGTATATTATAAAATGTAATTTATTCCTGTCATCTTTTAAGTCTTAAAAATGTCTTTACTGTCAATTTTGATCAATTTAATGCAACCTTGCTGAATACAAGTATTAATTTCTTTCAGAAAAAACAAACACATCATATAAATATAATAAAAAGCTAAATTATATAATTAATTCCATTTTAATCATGACAACCCTCGGAAGATTTTAGCATGGTGATGGATATGACAATGTTAATGTATTTGGTCTTGGCAGAATAGATCTGCAACGCTGCTGCTGCTGTTGGTTATTGCTGTAGTTGTAGATTATTGCTGCTGCTGCAAGCAAGTACAGGAACTTGCTACTGCCAATGCATACAAAACATCAAAATGCATAAAACTGACAGAGTCTCAAAACTCTGGCAATTTGATAATACCTAGAATATCAAAATCAACTGCGGGCGGCAGATCCTTCTCCTTTTTAGCGCCCAAACTCTGGAATAAACTACCTAACATTGTTCGGGAGGCAGACACACTCTGTCAGTGGGATTTAGTTATTAAGAAATATATGCTTGAACTTTTCAGTTTCTAAGCTATTTATTGAGAAATCACAGAACAGTGTTGACAATAAATTTCCGCGCTGAATGATTCTGTGCGCGAGCGATCTGCGCGTGATGTACAAGCTTTTTTGATGAAATCTTTGAAGGAGATTTCATAAGTTCTTTTCATAAGTTCTTCCATTTTTGGAAACGGAGTGTAAATGTGGAAGTCCTTCAAAGATTTCTCATCCTGTTGCGCCCTCTATAGGACCAGCGACTAGTCGACGTCAAGCTTAAAGCGTCCTGGCAGAGCATCGAAGTCGACTAGTCGATTAGTCGGTGCAACCCCTACTGAATAACATCAGTTACATTAACACCACATCAGCTTGCGCCATCTAGAGTTTCATGACTAAACTATATATTTAGTGCCACTAGTAGCACAGAAATGACAGCACAGCTTTCTGAATCAGATAAAGACAATGTCAAGCTTAAAGCGTCCTGGCAGAGCATCGAAGTCGACTAGTCGATTAGTCGGTGCAACCCCTACTGAATAACATCAGTTACATTAACACCACATCAGCTTGCGCCATCTAGAGTTTCATGACTAAACTATATATTTAGTGCCACTAGTAGCACAGAAATGACAGCACAGCTTTCTGAATCAGATAAAGACATGCATATTCTGAATCTGAAGCTGCCTAGATGTGGGTGGCTGTTCCACAAAAGACAGCTACATCTGTAAATAACAACTGTCCTTCATCAGTCTCATACGCCTTACTGCTCAGCTCACAAATAAAGAGTGAACGCTACAAAGAAATGCCATTTCCAGTCTTGTCTATAAGTGATGCTAGCACATGAAAAGCACGTCTGAGGATAAATAAAAGGCTTTTAAAATGTTGTACATAAACTCTCTAGTTCCCAGTTCTCTTCCTTTATTGTACACAGGGACTGAAAATAGCAGATGGAGAAACAGAAAAAGACAGCTCTGTGTCTTAAGAAAGCACATGAAATGGCTGGTGGCCGACTTCACACGTGCATTGACTAAAAATGAATTAACACCAATTTTGGTCGTGCCTCGCATTGTTCTACAACTGGTGGGCTGCTTGGGGACCCCGTGTTGTCTGACAACATTTGGCGGAGCTTTTGAGATAAAATGCTGCTTTTATATTTGACTGCGATATGAAAGGCGTGGAGGAAAATCACACGCACGCTCACACAAACATGCATAAACGCATACAGGAAGGGGCTGAAGCCATTTTGTAAAATAAACAGCTCCCCTAATTAGCAGAGGCTGTTAATTGTGGTGGTATGGATAATTGTTTGCCTTAGTATGCGTCTGAATGCTGCTGTTGATTATCTATTAACCCCAGGCCGGCGGATGGGTGTTTGAGACAGGTGCGCAAGAGTTCCCACAGGTGCTCCTCTGCGACGAGACAACATTGCAACCATCCTTCCTTTGATTCGCTTAATGGCTTTTATTGTCTCCGTGTTCAATGTGCGTTCCCCGTGGTGCTTTGTGTTCATAATCACTCAATATTTTAATAACCGAGAACAAGTTCTATTATGCTGACGTGAGCTTCGCTACTTAACGGAGGAAGCAGGGCTGCTGTTTTACCAATAATAATGACAAACACAGTGGCAATCTGTAAATTAGCAAGTTTTTGCGGCATATCTCGAGTCTTTTGTGCTTGATGAGTGCATTAGTTCAATAAATACGCTTTTCTTTTAATGTCTTGGCAAATACATGTGTAAATAATGCTTTTAACCACTAATCTGCGGCATCATTTAAGAATCTACTGAAAGTGCACAAAAACACTACTTTAAAAAGGGCTAAATAAAACAATTAGCCAAAAAAAATGCTAGGGGAGCCATAAAAAGGTTAATTTATTGACCTTATGGCTTTTAAATGACTCCAAATTTGCATGGAGAGACAGTTCCAACACATTCTATATAACTGTCTGGACAGATACAAACAATCCTGCTACTATAATTTAAATATATACATATATTATAAATATAGTACTGGTTTTAACGTTATATAACACATTTACTGAGTATTTGACAATATTACCATTAGATTTTTTTATTCTGCTCTCAAAAATAGAGAATTATGAGATTAATGGCAAATCTGTATTTAGTTTTGTGAGGATTATTAAACATTAATAATAATACATACACATATATATATATATATATATATATATATATATATAAATTGGACGTCTAATTAAGATATGGACTTCATGCCGTATGAATCTGTGCAGAAGGAAGTCTTTGTTCCTAAAGAGTAGCTATTTGAACAGTTGAAGTACAGTATGTTGAGCTCTGAGTCACTTCCTGTGATTTAACATTTTCGCTGTTAAAGCGCTTCTGAGAACAAATCAACCTCAGCAAGGTTCAGCTGTCCAAAGGCATAACATCACAGTGACCCGTGAGTTTTCTTCAATGGACCAAGTAAAGCCCAGTTTAATAAAACCAAAACAATGGCCAGTTTCACTACTACCTCACTGCATTATTCAGATGTAGCAGAGCTCAAGGTCTTACCACAAAGGAATAGAGTTGAGAAGAGCGTGTCTGGAGCTCTGGCTTACACTCCCCTACGCACAAATGGACCGGGCCGGGTTTACTGTCTGTGGGAGCTGCATCCATCTCACACACAATCCTGAAAAAGAAGAAATACACAATGATATTTTACATTTTAACCTTGGTTTCAATGAAAGTCACCTAAATGGATAGAAATCTTCATTATCACAACTTCTGTTCACTCAGTCCCCTTGATCTGGATTACAAAGCTTAATGTTTCTGGACTGACTCCAGAGTGAGGAAGCAAAGCATTGGAAGTCATCTCCAGTCCTGCCGAGTGATCAGTATGTGACTCTTCCTCTCTCTCCATTGATTTCCTCTTGATCTCAATGTAATTTCTGCTTTGGTTCCTTGATTGCTTTAGCGGACACATTCCATTAGCTGAATTGACAAGATCGCCCTATGGGAATGCCGATGCATCATATATTTTCATACTGGTTTATTTAATTTGTCCACTAACCTAGTAGTCAAATAGTGGACATGCATACATCACCAGAGAATTCTGTCATTTTTATTATTTTCTTTTTCTGAAATTGTAAATTACATCATGGAATAAAATGGCAGACTAGTTTGGCTTGCTACTGTATGGCTTATTTCAAAGCTAGCATTTCATGCATACTAAATACACAAATAATATTTTCACAAGATTTGACAAAATTATAGTTTGGAAATGTCAAACAATAAAACTGTTTTGCTCACAAGTGATATTCCCCTTGACTTGTTCTTTTGTTTTCTAAACACATCACAAGTCTCTTATTTAATCTCAAACTCTTCATTGACACTGTTGTCACACTGGAATAAAAATTTCATTGGAGCAAAATTTTTAGTGTGGTGGAAATGACATCACAACTAAGGGGGATGTAATTTTTTTTTTTTTACTTTATTAAAAAATATATATAGAAAAAATAAGTATTAATATGGTGTATTTATCTCTTTATTTATATGATCACAGTTTTAAACACACACATACAGTGGGTACGGAAAGTATTCAGACCCCCTTAAATTTTTCACTCTTTGTTATATTGCAGCCATTTGCTAAAATCATTTAAGTTAATTTTTTTTCCTCATTAATGTACACACAGCACCCCATATTAATAAATAAAAATAACAATCAACCCCTGGGAAATTTAAGTGCCTGAAGTTGCAGAAACATCCATATACGGAAAGCCAGTGACGCCCAGCACAAATCAATACAGCGTTATCATGCACTCTGATCAGGGAGCAGATCGATGTTGCTACATCATACGGGCTGATCAGGTATCGGCTTCACGGAAGGGTGGCCAGATCAAATGACATTATAA